ATTCCACCTTCAATTAGCTAAAAAAGGCATTAGTTCTGAGGCGGTTTAGGAAAGGTGAACTTAGGCCTAAAAAGCTTCCAGACACACTTCAACTGGTAGTCCTTTCCGAAGGTTATTGACGTGCAACATCCCGACACCGAAAAATGGGTAATTCATCATTTCCTGGTGTCGTGGTCCTTAATTTCTCCCATAGCTCGCCAGCGATGCTTTTTTGCTTATAGTTAGAAACCGAGTAGGCCTTCTCTCCCAAATATTACCTAGTATCATCTACAAAGCCGAACCCGTTCAACGAACAGGGTTTCCAATTTCTCTTCATGTCCTGACCTTTTGCTACTTATGGTTTGTTTTCTGAGCCTCACAACCCACATCCATTCTATCAAGGAATGTGCTTTCAGAGGGTTAGGTGGTAAGAGGTAGGAAGGTTATAAAAGGTTAAACAAGGTGCTTCTGCATACAGTAAGAATTAAAAGGTTGATCAATTACAATCCCCCACTTTGGATCATCCATCCTTCTTACGGTCTCAGTTCGCCATATCAAGATAAAAACATCGCAAAAACAACCCTAAGTGACAAATTGACTGACACATCGATAAAGCAAACTTTATGGGGTTTGGCAAGATGTGCTCGTTCAGACAAGGAAGTAAGAAAGAAAGTTGAGTTCGGGTGTTGAGGAAACATGTCGTCCCGATCGATTTGCGCTGTTCAAACAATCGTCACGAGCGAGTATGACCCCTTTCACTAATCAATTTTTTGATACGCATTTTTCCAAGCCATAAAAATCATTTCCGTTCTCGAAAAACTAAAATCTTGATAAAGTTTAACGAAACTTACATGATACCTTTGTGTAGTGGCATGGCAGACCATACTGTCACCTATTTACATTGATAAGCAGAGCTTTAGTGAGAGATAGCAGCAGCAGCCGAGGAAGAACGCCGCGTTAGAAACCACACTCCAGCGGCATATATCATCAATGCTGTTTCCATGGAGAATGTACTTTGGGTTGCCCTCAGAAAAAATCTCGTGGTTCCCTGAGGGCTACCCCTAGAGCTGGTCCTCTCACTCCTTCGCTGGATCGAAAGCAGTCTACTGACTATGACTAAGGGTCAGATAGGAGAGGTTCCTTATTTGATCCTTAGTCGTGGTAGACGGGTTTGCAAAGCAGGGCCCTTAAGTCATGGTAGACGGGTTTGCAAAGCAGGGCCCTTACCCTACGTGGCCATTAAGGAGGGCGCAAAGAGGATGCATTCCAGGCAGAAAAAAACTTCCTCACTGTTTACTATATCTTTATAGATTCTGGGAAGCAGATACGGATCAATGATATTGGAGCCAAATATTCCTCTGAAAGCCTGATTCCCATACCATCGGCGCCCATATATGGGTACCATTTTGTTAAGAAAAACAAAAACACTGATTCAAATTGTTTGTTTTATTCTGTTCATTGCTGTTCAGTGACGCAGTTCGTAATGCGAACCTTATCAAAAAGGTATTGACCACGAACGATCCTTGTATCGGGTTGAACGTTTCGCTTGCTCCTTACCACGCTTGAAAAACGATCAAAATCACCTTCACCTTGTAGCATAAAGCAAATACAACAAAATGTTGCCGCAGCAAACAGCACTAATTGGTAAGTCCGCAGTTTTGTTCAACGATGCCAAGTTCTTCTAGGAAAAGCAAAAGCTTCGCGAGCTGAGCGGAATTAAGAGATTTTCACTTTCTTGGAACGTTTTCTTACTTGATACAATTGCGATTTCAAAATCACCATTTATAAGTCCACAGAATCGGATAGTGGATTTTTTTAGTGCATCTAAGAGTGAATTAAGTCATATGTATTACCTGTCCTCCTCCTGACCATCGATTTCCTTGAGCCGGCGCCAATAACGTCTATATTCGTCCCGGTTGAGAGCCAGTTACGAGCGATAGCTTTCTTTTATTTCAGAGCTTTCGTGAAGAAGTCTGATCATGGGATTGGCTGCCATCCTAGTGTTCATTTGATTAACCGAGAGATGATCGTCATGTTCGCTTCCTAACCTGGATTCACGAAACAAGACCATCAGAGATGTTTGTTCCATTAAGCGTAAAAAAGCACCACATACCCATCGTTTCTCGTGAGCATCGTCTTCGTTAGGTTCAGTCGTAATCTGATATTTCCACAAGCATTGTCTAATTCGGCCAACATTTGTTCCGCCTGCCCGATGTTCGGTGTTATAAGCACGATGTTATCTGCAAAGTGGAAGTGATGTAAGTAGCACCATCGACCTTCACTCCCATGTTTTTCTTTCCATATGACGCACGATGTTCTCGAGAGCGGCACTGAAAAGTTTGGGAGAGATGGTATCGCCCTGCCGAACCCCTCCCTTCACGCTGATGATAACTTCTTGATAGACTGGCCTGGTCATGAAATTGTCCTAGAGCTCACGAAGTATTCTTGTATGTTGAGTAGGAACACATGGTTGTCCAGGGCTCCGATTACCGCTTCTGTCTCTACCGTATCAAAGGTCAGGATGAGTCTCAAATATTTTTTTTGGCTTCCAGGCTCTGACGAAGGCGATTGGCCGAAACGTTAGCCGAATAAAACTTTGTATCATCTTGGTCGTGGCTTCAGAGAGACCTCCAAAGGTATCAAAGGCTTCTTTCAAATCGATGAACGTAAGACATAACGGCATTCTGTACTCTCGCGATACTTCAATGAGTCTTGCAACGGTGTGGATGTGATCGATTGTACTGAAGCCACTCTGAAACCCTGCTTGCTCGCATGGCTGTCCTCCGTTCAATATTCTGCCGATCCTGATGAGGACGACAAGTGTAAGATGTTTGTAGGTTGTAGACAGTTGGCAATTTGGGCGATAATGGCCAATATCGTCGGGATCTTCCTCTTTGTACAGCAACATATTCGTGCTAGTTTTTCACGACGAGGGCATTTTACATTCCAACAGGTAAAGCGAGAAGAACCTAGCCAGAGCTCTGACGATAAATGGTGAAAGACTCTTCACATTTTCTGGTCATATCTCTCGAGGAAGAGCGCCGTGCAATTCCTCACTGACGTTGTGGCATTTCGAAACTCTCTGAAAATAAGGCATCAAATCAATAATCCCAATTCTTTTGAGGTCTCTGCTCTGAAGAAATTTCCTTAAAAATAGATTACCTCAATAAAAATTGTGGCGGTCTTGAGACTGTTCATAGTACTTGGAAAGTAATAATCGCCATGGAAGCCATGAAAGGTCCGGTCCCATTTAACTAAATTTGAAGAAGCAATCCACGCTGGGATCCGCAACCGGAAAATACTTATCGATTCTCCCCACGTGGCCCGTCATATCATACAAAGTGTACATGATCTTCATAATGCGACAATTACCTTAATTTTATGGTGCACCTTCGGTGACGTGCATAGGAGCAACATAGCACCGTTTTCTAGAACTTCGAAAAAAAAAAGAAAAATTACGGGAACCGATTATCGAAGATGAGAGAGAAGTCGAAGATTTACTTCTCAGCGCACGTGTCTAGGTATTGGAAGGGTGTGATAAAAGCACATGTGAGTATGTCATGTCCAGCAGCTGCTTAAAGGCACAGTTCACGTTAATATAAATTCGGGCTTCCCCTTATACCATACCCGCTGATATAAGGTCGAAAAACGCCATTCATAGGGCACAGTAGGGAGCCAGAGATTGTATCGTGTGAATGCCACACCCATCGTGGACGAGTTTCAACAGCTTTGTAGAGGCTGCACTACCTCAAGAGACTTCCATGTAGGAAGATCAAACAACCCATGGCGACAGTGAAAGGCAGTTTCGGACAATTTGGGCTTGATGTAATCATCTCTTTGAGGAATGGAAGCAAGTTGAGTTTCGGCCAAACACTCCTCACGTACAACCTTCACTTCCACCACTTTTTAAAAGCCTCGAAGTAGGCGCATTTTCTCGTTTTCTTCCGGCATCAACACTTCCGCTTTCCAACTTAAAAAGGATACACAAAATAATCGTGAACTGTGCCTTTAATGTTCCTATCTCTGCTCTAAGGAGAAAAAAGAGTACTATTCCCGTAGGGTGATATTTTTCGTTCACCCTCTAAATTTTGGATATGATTAAGTAGGGGTGGTAGAAAAATGAATGGCCTGATGGGTCTGGGGCTAAAACTCGCGGAATTCATTCGTAAACTCACAAAAGAAGTTCCCACTCTATCTGATAATCTTAGTGGAGAGACGATTTGTGAAGTCAGCACTCGTTTCTGTACTTTTACGTTTTTCTCACTTGAACTCTCATCCATTATGCATTCATTCTTGCATATGCATATTCAAACAACCACACCTATAAGTTCCAATGTTAGCGCACTGCAATACGTAACGCTAGATTATCACAACTGTCAGAACAGTTCCTAGTAGACAGTGGGGTAGAAAAACGCATAAACTTTTCAAAAAGAAAGTTTCCGAGACGACAAGATAAGAACAAGTTTCAAGCAGGGAATCAGGGTGTGACAGCGATTCCAGCAATCGAGCTCAATTTTGAGGCACAAAAGTGGCTACTGGCTCTTGCTGTCGTACGCCTACTGGGTTCAGTTAGACACGTAACATCAAAGAAAAAGAAATTCTCGACAGCAACCGCTCGAACCAGCCTCCTGAGAAGAAATTGAGGAGAGCGGTGATTTCAAGATTAACCAGAACCGTGGTCCGGAGGCTTTGAGGAGAACCTCTAATCCGCTTGTATACTTCTGCTTAACACGGTAAAGTACACACGTGATGTTTACGAAAGGCAACGAATCCAGAAGAATGCTCTGCTCCAAATGCACCCACTGCACAATAGCTAACCAGTTCAACGCAATTCTCATCAGTTTGCCCTCGTTTCCCCTGATCATCCTGTTTTAAGCATACCGAATGAGGGAGTATGATGTGAGATCATTCGAGCCATCACGGTTTTGAAGCTGTTTCGATTTATGATCAGTGATGTGTACCCGTGCATATAAAACGTGGACGCCCAACACTGTCCTCACCATAATCGGGCATCATTTGCCATGACTGAAACACCACATTCCCATTCAACATCTTCATCCATTTCCAGTATTCCTGATGAGGACTCTGAACGCCGTATCTTATGCGGTTGTGCTGGTGCCAACAGATTCGTTATAGTTGCTTTAGGTTTACTCTTTCTTTCATTCCTAATGTCAAGGTGAGGTTCACAACTTGTAATACCCAAAGTTCCGACTTCCATAGAGCTCCTCTCTAGCCTCATCGCATTCAATGCAACGTTTGTGGCGATCATGGACAAGACAACGTCTCCTCTTTATAATGGTTCCATTTCGGCTGATATCGACTGGGCCAGTTCATCTCTTCCAATCCGTGATCGACGGCTATCTTTCGGTGTGCTCGAGAAGAGCCTGAGCTTCGCTGGTTCGTTTTTGGGCATACTGATACAAATTCACGTCGAAAACAGCCAGACATTACTGATTGAAGGAGGTAAAGCGATTTACTCTCTCTGAGTCAGGGCATGGCATCGTCGAAACCCAAAGTGGTTACTGTACACCATTCTAGAGCGGCAGAAAGGATAAGTTATGAAAAATCGAACTACGTAGAGTACTTGCTGAGGCTAGGTGGAAGAAGCAAGTAGGCATGCTGATTCAAAGAGTCTCTAGGCAATAGGCACGCGCTGGGCAAGTACTGATGGACTGGTCAACCCGCCCTTCCATGGGAGATTCTGCTGAATACGGCGAATGTAGCGCCTTTTCTGCGTTATTCCGAGCAAGATTTGCAGCTAATCGCGACCTGCTTCTGTAACTGTACGCCTTGGGTTATAATGCTATGGGGCCACAAGTTGATCTGACTGAGATGTTGAGTCAGAATATTAGTTACTTAAGTTAGAGAAAGATCGAATGTTAGGACGAAGTCATAACCGCTTTAAAAGTCCGACTCAATCAACCCTTTCAGGCGGTTTCGCTGGTTCAATGCTGGCCACGTTCCCGGTGGACATGCTGCTGAAGAAGTATGGCCCTCATAAAGTTATGACCGTGATTGGGATCATTTGTACCACCATGGTCGCTATTACTCCAACCGTTATGTGCTGGTCGTTTCCAGCTTTCGTTGTTTTACGGGTTATTTCGGTGAGTTGTCTCTAAGGCGTTTTTAGAGAATAGGTTCTGTAAGGCTTTGAGAACTGAATTTGTTCTTGCCAGCGCTCAAACTGATGCGGAATTAAAGTGATGAATGATTAGTTCGCTATCGCTGGCGCTCATTCTATTCTATTCCGTAAAAGATCGAAGAAAAGCAGGCTATGGATATCGTTCCTAAGACAGTACATTACGGTTCTGGTCAACATTGACCCGCTGATATTGATATCGACGAACCAATATCGATCAGAATCGTTTTGCACAATCTTAGAACCGATATCCATAACCTGGCTTGCTTGAAAACTTTATGGAATAGTAGGGGCGAAGTGCGAAGTTCCATTCGCTGGCTTTGTCCATTATCGGGACGATATCGCTTGGTATACAGAATGGACATTCCGGTAATTGAAACAGAGCCCTCTGTCAATCGTGTCAGATGGCAGGAGCGACTGGAAGGTCGGAATAACTATCGAGCGTAGCTCAAAGTTTGGCTAAACTAGATTATGCAGATCTTGAGGAGAAATTCTTACGCTAGATAGTCGTTTCGCATGGGAAACGACTTGCTAAAAACGTGGTTGCAAGAGCGTATGCAAGGCAGTAGTAATGTATCGTTAAAAACATCTTTTAATTCCAGGGACTAGCCATATCAAATTCGTTTCCGGTGGCGGGATATATTGTTAACGAGTGGGCCACGACTACGGAAAAGGGCCTGTTTGTAGCCATACTGTCCGGTTTCGTGGAAGTTTCCGCACTTGTCACTATGCCATTAAGTGGACTGATAGCCACTAGAGGTAATAGAGTGGCTTTTGATCAATTCCCTTAACAATACATTCTAAACCAAACTTTGCTCAACTGAATCCCATACTTGAATCGGATGTATTTTAGTGAGCTGGGATATGAACTTCTATTTTCATGCGATTCTTTGCGGTTTGCTCACATTATTCTGGGCGTTGTACTACAGGTAACAGGTGATTTTCCTGGTGACTTCAAGTTTACTGCACTGCTTTTTTCAGAGATAAGCAAACAAAACATCCCTTCGTTGCCAAACGGGAATCGCAAAGAATCAGCCGTGGAAAACAGCCCACAGTCGGAAAAGTAACGGTTTGTTCATGATCCGCCACACTTTTTAACTTGATTTCTGCGGTTGTTTTTGAGATTGATCCATCGCCTCTCCTAGAACTCAGTCTACAATGGACGTCCCCTATGTTCCTGGTCTGACCGGGATGAGCATACAGTTTCGAGGATTATTTCGAGGCCACACTTTATTCTCAGCAACTGCTCCATGAAGCTGACACAAATTCGGGTCTAGGATGAGGGTTACAGTCTGGAAAAACCGATGCATTATGTAGTTTTCCCAAGATTAAAACCCGATCTCATCATTTTCATAACAGAAGGTTATGAAAATGATGAGATCGGGTTCCGTAGAAAGTTGGTGAGGGACACTCCTTTTTTTCTAATCCCACATTGCTTGTAATGGGTAGATGACAAAAATCAGTATAATAAGGGGGAAAAAGTATATCATATGGTACACCAGCTAATGCGAATTTTCCAACTAGTTAATCAACCATCACACCCCCTTACCCCTGCCATGAATGTGACCCTCAGATCATTCCAAATGACTATTATAAGCCAAAAATTGCTGATTTGTTCCGCTTGCTCTATCCTACAGACGGCAAAAATTTGGTTTCGTAAACCTCAGAAGGATTACACGCTTCGGGTCTACATATTCTTCATAGTGGCTGACATATTCCCGAACAACTAGGAACTAACAAACGAATTTCAGCCACCACTTCAACGTATATTTCGTTCAATGGTTATATGGGCAATCTGGATTGCTGTCATAGGGAACTTCCTGGTTGCTCAATTCACCATATCCTATTCACCACTGTATCTGTCGTATGTACTCGGATTTCACACTACGACTGCTGGAGTTCTCACAATTGTCCCACTGGCCGTTCAGGTGAATAGAACACACATCATACACTTGCTCAGATAAAAATTAAAAGAATATTTCAGCTACTAATCAAGTTACTGACCGGTCTGGCATCAGATCGCCTTACTTGTCTGCCAGAGGTCGGTAAATTGCGCCTCTTCAACTCAATCGCTCTTCTTGGCTCAGGGCTTTTCTTCATTCTGTTGGCATTAATTCCACCAAATGGTGACGCCTTCGATGTGATCCTAATCAGTGGGTTTCTTTCTTATAATCATCCACTTTTCCCCTATTCCCGTTGCTCATCCACTTTTCCCCTATTCCCGTTGCTGCTTACAGTAATCCCAATTGCATTGCTCGGATTCACTTCCGGCGGCTATCCGAAATGTGCAGTGATGGTATCTCAGCAGCATTCTCCGTTTGTTATGTCCATAGTACAGGTCTGTCCAAACTTATTATACGGTATTAACCACGCATTTGCGAAGTAACATAAAATTGACTACTATAATCAAGAAGAGTTGGTGTAACGGTCAAAGGTGCCCGTCCCTCCAGAACCTTCGAAGATCGTCCAATCTATGTTTTTATACCTTTAGACTAAACGATTCCGATAGAACAAACCTCTCAAAGAAATGAAAAGAGCTATCTAGGACTGACCCTGTAAACTTGGACCTTGGCGTGCACTCACCAAAGTTCAACCTATTCATTTTACGGCTCGGAACAAAAGTTCAGTACTTGTAGGACCACAGAGTAATCACTTCGCATTCTACTGAATCGATGTACTTAATAGAATTCGATTCACGTTCATTTCACGAGGAACTCTGAAAAATGTACTTCATTACGAAACAAATTATGCGCATAAATTGCGTACCTGATTCTCAACAAGGCTAGACAGTGATGACATGACCATCAGCAACGTTTATGCGAGATAATTCTACAGATTAAGGTGAATGCAGTTCGGGCGAGCTAAAAAAGATCAAACAATACCAAATGATGTGCTTTGAGAGTGAAACCTCTTTCTCTTATAGTAAGAGCAATTAAGATGTAGATGATCAAAGAATCACAAGGAAATTATGAGAGGACCTAACGGTTCAATCATTATCAGTAATCGAGACTATGGTCGGTACTTATCCTCTCCCAAAAAAAAAAAANTCTGACAGGCCTGGCTAGTTCACATATAGTTTAGAAGAGTGATTGGAAAAAAGGAGATGGATCAATCACTCTAGCGTTCTAACCCATTTCGGGACAGGCAATGCATTTGTCGTTTTTAAAAATTGTGTAGGAGTCGGCTTGTAAATAGAAATAGCTATTCATTCAAGCTGTGTACAGGTGGTGAAGTGGCAAGTAGCACACTATCACACGCGCAGCCCGGGTATCCAATTCTGGAGAGATAAGCGCTCAGCCTGACCAAACCTTCCACCCGCACCAGGGTTGATTGGTTTGAACCGCATTCGTCTGGGAGTTGAAGAGAGCTGACTTCTACATTAGTTGCCCTCAGCAAGTCATTGTATAGGCCCCCTCGGCATCACCACTCATCCCCATACAGGTTTGGCCATTGCTACACGACCACGTCTAGCTTAAGAATTAATTGGTCTCCATTGGATTCAGTCCTATCCTTCAACTTTCATAGCAACTTTTTCAAGAACACTCCAACAATAATTCTGTAAAAATATCTGCTCAATGCATATATTTACGTATAATTAATTTTATTACGATTAGAATTCATGGATGTATGACCTTTCAGATTGTCGCTTGTTGTTCATTGCTCACTGGATCGTTTGTGGTCCCGGCTCTAACGAAAGACGACACATTTGAGCAATGGAGGAACGTTTTCCTTATTTACGCATTTGTACTGACACTGTCGAATACGATTTTCATCGCATTTGCCAGGTATTTATTGCTTTTTTTGGGTGAAAAAAAAANAAAAAAAAACTTATCAAATGCGCTATGCTCTTTTTACGATCAAGCCGCTCTTTTTTGTTGTTGAAGTTTCCATTACACAATTTTCAGTCAAGTTAGTCAATTCAATAGCCAACACGAGCTTCGATGCCTTCTGTAACCTGAAAGAGCGGTAAAAAGTGCTGCTGAAAAAACCATGTTTTGATTAAAATTATTTCTGGCAGCTTAGAGCCACATATGGAATGTGGCTTATTTCTCACTTCATCTCCTTATATTTTTGGTCGGAGGTGGTTTAGTGGCAAGTGGCGCTTATGTCACATGCATGGTCTCGGGTTTGATTCTCAACCCGTTATCCATCCAGACTAATTAAATGTTCAATCCCCGGGGTCGGTTCATTGGAACCAGGACTTGTAAATCGCCTGGCGATTGCAAGTCATTGTATAGGCCACATACGCATTCAACAAGCCTCCACTTCTGAGTGGGAGCGAATGGGGGCATGTCTCTTATTGTCAGACGGGACTCATTAGAGCCCAAAAGATTTATATTTTATCTCTCTATATTTTTTCATATTTCTTAAAGTTTTTAATCTTTTTAGAATAATCAGAGAAGACTTAAACGGAACTTGATTTGCTTTCATTTTTCATGACAGAAAACGATTTTTATTACAGGGCAAAGCCGGCAAAATGGGTTGCAAACCCTACCAAAGCCGAAATTATACCAGCAGATTGCGCTCCTGCCAATGTAAACACATCAACTTTACCCTGAATTTGGAGTACCCTAGAAGTAACTTGATTGAAATGAAGTAATTCATCTCAGTGATTCCATGACACCTTCGAAATGGAGGGCATCAAAGTGATCTCGCTAATTTTAATGTTCAGGCTGCTTTACGTACATGATATATATAGCTGTTATCATATAAGTTATATGTTTACTAACTAGGGTAAATACTGTTTAACTAAAAGATTGCATTGCCTTCACTCATTGTTATGAAACTTATTCTACTTTCACTTTTTGTCAGATATCAGATTTTTACACAGTTTTCTTTCTTCACTACTGGTCGCTGATACAATGAGCTCCTTTGCACTGCTATTATTTTTGCTAACTTTCTTGTAAAGGATGTTTACATCATGTATACTTCATGGTTTTGTGAGCCTAATAAATAATACCTACGCAAGGCATCCGACTTCTGTTAGCAGAATATCAGAATCCCCTGATCACACCCTCCCTGAAGTTATCAGATTTGGTAAAAACTTCCCAGTTTCACCAGGAGCTCCAATACTTCTGCTTACTCGAGAACCTTGTGAAGATATGATTTCTCGGAATCGTGTCCAATGTCAACTTCGGAGAATATAGGCTAGCACTTATCTTCGCTTCTGGATTACCAAGCCAGAATCGGAGTGAGATTGGCCTTGTCTGAGAAACTTCCATACTATGCTTCTACTCTGCATCATATGGGATGTTTTCCTTTAACAAACCGCACCGGTGGGCTGTACTTCGAGAGCTTATAGACAGGCAAAGAAAAACAAATGGATCACATAGAAGGTACCCAAGTGAGACGGTCTGAATCCTTTAGCTTTACTTTCGACATAAAGACACTTTACTTTCCTTAGCTTTACTTTAATAAAATGACTTTCAGGGGTGATTTAAAGCACTTATGAGTGCTTCTTCCCAATATTAGATAGAAATCAATTATACGACTCGTAAAAAGGAGAGGCCTGGCAATATTTTGGGGTGTTGATATGAAATTCGACCATTGAACCATATGCGTACAAAGGACTATATTTGTCATTTTTGTTGTTATCCGACCTCATGCTCGTATATTTTCTATTAAATCATACAAATACGATTCTGTTTGTCATCGTGTAACCTTTTGGAATCATTCCCTCTCGATTTTGCAGCCAAATTACCATACCGTTGGGCAACACCACCAACGAAAGTGATGAATATTGATTAGCCGTCACGCAGATTTATTTTACGAAGTCATTGGTTCAGACTTTTTTTTCAGAAAAAATAACCGTAGTCATCGTCTCTCCTTCTGTCTCTTCATGCTCGCGTTAGGCATCAGTCCCTCTGATATCTGCAATCACCTCCATTTATGAATTGTTCCGGTTAAGAACCGTGGATAAAACGATTCGGATACGTCCACATAAAACAAATGACTAATCGTATGATTGTTCAGCCGGCAGAGGAGGCAGCTTGTGCTGTATGCTATGGAAGGTGCCAAAAAGCTCATAATCAGCCACATCCTACGAGCTTTCAGATGCTCACAAACGACTACCTCTCACCCCCCAACGAATGTATTATATTAGAGTTGAAGTTATTGTAGGAGAGCGCAGGTAACATAATCGATAACTAAGCCTTCCCAAGTTGGAAATAGAAAAGGTCGATTATTGATTAGGACACGAGCCATTGTATAAGCAGTAGCTACACTTTTGTGATTACATGCATACATAGTTTCACGTGTCTGTCGAACAGGTATTTGTACCCATCCACGGCAACGGAGCTGCTGTGAACGTTTACATTTCCCAGTTTGTGTTGTCTGGCTAATACGGTGTCTTCTTCCTTTTCTTTTATCCATGTATCACTCGAGGCCTTCGAACAGATGCAAGCTTCGCTCTAAGAGCTCTGTGAGGCTATTCGTGTCGATTCTACCACATTTTTTCTTGCCCAGTCACCTTGCGTCGTTTCTTGTGCCACCTAAGCAGCAACTTCTTGCTATGCATGAATTTCATTTTTGCATTTTGCAATAATATTGTTCACCTTTTCTAAGTGAGTCATTCGTTTGAAGGCACAGTTCATGATAGAAATGGTTTCTGAGATCCCCCACAGGATGAATTTGAGGCCCCTGCGTGTACCATATCTGGCACTATTAGGTCGGAAAACGGCCAAGGGAGGAAATCATGAACGCTCAAAGCTTGGCCCGTGTATATAGCGGATGAGTTGCACTGGCCACAAGGGAACCCATGCAGGAAGTTTAAACAACTTGTCATGACCCATAGCGACAGTGAAAGACAGATCTGTACAGCTCTGGCTTGATGAAGTTAGCTCTCTGTGCAATTACAACAACCGAAATCTCGTCCGATTACTCCTTCCACGTTATTTCCGTCATCGCAATCTCGTCCAACCTCTATTTTCCCTACTTTTGAGGAGCCATATTTCTCTCGAAATCGACGAGTTCTCTCGCTCTGTTCACTACCGAGGGACTGTTCCCAATCTATTCTTCCGCTTTTTGAATAAAAACGGGTACCTTAAAATTATTGTGAACTGTGCCTTTAACGAAAGCGTTGCTGATCGAAGGTCTTTGAATTCCAAAGGAACTTTTGAGGCTGAATCCAAACATGGGCCATTCGCTCTAGGAATTACTTGCCCGCCATTGAAGAAAAGTATTGGGTCTGCATAGGCGCGTAGGCGTAGAAGTTGGCATCTCATCACAAGTGACGACTGCATCCTAATATGTACCCTTCATCTGCAAGTACAACAACAACTTTTTACTTTGTGTTCGATGCTGTTTGCTGACGTTACCGCGTTAGAATGGCTGTGCATATAAAGTGCTGCCATATTACGTATTTCCCTTCGTTATTCGATACAATTGTCATCGTTGGAGGATCACTACTCACCTACCAGCATGCCACCCTCCAACTCCTCAGAAGATGACCTCGAACGTCGTGTCATCTGTGGCTGTGCTGGTCTCAACAGATACTTCATACTAATTCTCGGTCTACTTCAACTATCTATTTTGGGATCCAGGTCGGCCTCATTTCTCAGTAAAAGCTTACACTACTTCCATAAGACTGAGTTTTTCAGTTTGATCGCTTTCAATGCGAGTTTCGTTGCAATGCAGGATAAAACAACGTCACCACTTTACAACGGATCCTTAACTGATGACATCAACTGGAGCAGCTCAGCTCTTCCAATTGGTGATCGTCGATTCAGCTTCAGTTTTTTACAGAAGAGTCTCAATTTTGCTGGTACGTGCGCTTTGTGTTGATGGATCGTAACATCTATTCGTATATGCTGCATTCGGTCGATCCGTACTTGTGATCCTTTGCCATTGAGCGATGACCATTTCATATAGTCAGTAGGCTCAATATAGACAACACCTTGAATCACGAATGTTATGGTTCAAAGGGTACCGGAACTGAAGTCTGGATTCCTGAGGTCCAGGCCCTCAACTAGGGACTCTTACCAACCGCCCAAGATTGATCAGTTGATACCAGACCTGTTGAGAGGGTCAAAAGCGATACTGAATCTTTGTTTGAATCCTGTACTCTTGTTAAAGGTCAATCATGCATTTGGATGTTGCTTTCGACTCTGCTCCCCACGAGTATTAAAATGTTCGTAATTCATTGCCGGAACCATCGGCAACAGAGAAATAATAGGCTTGATTAGCCAACAAGAGAACTCCCATCTTTCCCATAGAAGGGTGAATGAAGGGATGTCGTTTGGCATGATTCGACCCCGTTTTTAGCATGCGCCCATGTTTTCGATTCCCATTCGAAATTGCAGTGACGTATTATATGCTTTTGTGTCGTAGGCAATGAATTGGATGAGCCGATGTACGACTCAGTGCTTTTATCCTTCCACAAGAATCTGGTACCAATTAATGGGCTCCGAAGGGATACAGGACTCGATTGGCCTGGGCGAGTATCGATCCAGGATTACGATCACTAGAATACGCATATATTATAAGATAATGAGCCATTTGCAACTAGTTTGCTCTCGAACTTCTTCATCGCTAATTTGAAAAATAAAATTTCAAGGAGGATTCGCTGGCTCGATATTCGGCACCATCCCGTTAAGCATGCTTCTGCATCGATACGGTCCTCATAGAATGGTGACGGCAATCGGTATTTCTTCCACTATCATGGTTGCTATTTCTCCTTACGTACTTTGCTGGTCATTTCCTCTATTCGTTCTTGTCAGACTTATTCAAGTAAGTCACACAGTTTTTCGTTTATCTTACTTCGAACTTTCGTTGTACGAGTTACCCAATATGGTTTCAAAAGTTCAGCAATTCGGACGAGATCTTGTTCAGGGACTGGGCGTTGCCATCCACTTCCCCGTAATTGGCTGCATAGTCAATGAATGGGCCGCGATGGACCAACGGGGTTTGTTCGTCGCTGTCCTCTCAGCTTATGTTGAACTTTGTGCTCTGATCACAATGCCCCTTGGTGGGCTCGTAGCTGTCAAAGGTAATTCTCACTATTTTCAACAAAAACGACATATGGGCACACATGACGAACCATCCTTACTAACCGTCGGAGGACGGTTGCTACGCGTTTATTGCCGAGCATTTCTGAGCAATCAAACATCAATTCTATGTGTTAAATTACCTATACGGAAAGGTAGGCTGGCAGATCTGCATCAAAGTTTTAACAAACCACATACCGTTCACGGTCACTGTCACTTGCGCATACGTCGAAAAAGAGAGCGGGAGGATAGATGGAACATTTATTTCTATCAGGCAACCCCCTCCATCATAACATTTAGGGACGTCTTGTCCAGATCTTTGAATCTCATAAGGAACTTTCAGATAAGATTGTTAAAATTGATGTCAGAAAAAGGCACCTTAACCGAAACCTAAGTTGATAGTAGCAGATTTCTTTTGAGATTTCATACGGTTCGCTTGTGGAGAAAAGCAGTCTGATAGCTACTGGTACTTCCAACTATGAGCTGCCTGTCAATGTTAA